ATGTCGTGGGAAGGTCCGCATTCTTTGACAAAGGACCCTTCAGAATGGCCTACCCTGGATTTCGATTCGCTCAATCAAGGTTTCGATTCAACGATAGTATTAAATTCTATCGTGGGACAACTCCAAGAAGAAAAGAGCGTTGAAATCATGAAACTACAAAGATACGGTACCTTTACGGCAGCAAAAAGAGTCATGTCATGGGTAATCCTATTTTTGTTGAAATTCATGAAAGCCTTCTCTCAACAAAAACGCGATGAGATCAAAAAGGCTCATCCCGAGCTAGAAAATGTAAGCATTTCTCCCCTCCAAGAAGATATTGATGCAAAACTTATGAAAATAGCAGAAATAGTCCTGATCAAAAATCATCAAAAGATTCATCTAAATGAGCATTATCGCAAAACCATGAGTGCACAATAATTACCATTTGGGAATTGAGCATACAATCTTCGCCATAAGAGAACGTTCCTGGATACCAAAAATTCGACAACAAGTAAGACATCTAATTGGCAATTGCTTCCAGTGTAAGCGCTTTAACGGGCTACCATATCGTTATCCTGACACCCCTAGCTTACCTGGATACCGTACCCAACAGAGTCGCACTTTTCAACATATTGGCTTGGACTTCTTTGACCTTCCAGCTATTTACGAACGCAAGGTGCTAATAAAAACCTACGGGTATATTTTTACATGCGCTACCACCCGTTTCATACATTTGGAAGTTGTGAAATCTATGTCAACGGGGGATTTCCTCAACGCGTTTCGTAGATTCATAGCGCGAAGAGGAGTAGATTCGGTAACATGTGACAATGCCCCTACCTTTTTACTAACTGAAACCATACTCAGCGAAGAACATCAGCCGCAACTACAGGCAGAATGTCTTCGCCTGATAGCAAATCACAAGATAGAATGGCGTCACATTACCCCCTACGCCCCATGGCAAGGAGGCTTCCATGAAAGACTTATCAAATCTATAAAACACGCACCTTAAAAATCAGTAAGACCTTCAAGTATCTCCTCATTTGATCAACTGGCTACGGTTGTGACAGAGATTGAAGCTTGCCTAAACTCGCGCCCACTCACATATCAAGGGTCAGACCGAGATTCACTAATTAGCATACGTCCAATCGATTTTGCACAACGCGACATAGTTTTGACATTTCCATGCTTTCAAGAAGAACTATCAGATGACTCCACCTATATCCTCGTGAAGAAGTGCAAGCTATTGAAACACGCCTTCAGGCAGAAAAGGCTTTGCAATCATCTTGCGCGATTACAGAACAATTCTGGAAAATCTGGAAAGACCAATACATCGTTAGCCTTAGGGAAAAACACAAGAAAAACATTTCAAACAAAAATTGCTGCAAAAATGACCCGAAAGTAAGCGATGTAGTTCTAGTAACCGACCCGGTTCTTCCAATAAATGATTGGAAACTTGCGAGAATAACTCAAGTGCGGAAAAATTTACAAGGAGAAATTCGTGAGGCTGAACTGATCACCTACACCAAAAGAAAAATACGGCGACCTGTCAATCTTTTGATACCACTGGAACTGGACGAAACGGAAAGCCCAGAAGAGGAAACCGTGGTAGAGAATGATCTTGCCTTTGAAGAGAAGAAAGCTTACAACTTGCGACCACAGAAACCTACAAACTATGCAGAATGCGCAGTAACATCAGAACCACAAAAGTTCACAACTCATAACAAAGCTAGATGGTTTTTGTTTCACTTAATGCTGCCGCATGCGTCACCGGCGGAATATGCTTCCAATCGAACAGCATTAAGCTAGCCTGCGCTAACAATGGAGTTCTGATCGAAACCAGTGAAAATGGCACTATCGAAATTTGCGCGGACAATCATTGCAAGCTACACGAAATACACTTACGACAGATTCTAGAACAATTCCCTCCAAGTATTACCTTACATGAACATCTTGTTACTATAAAATGGAGTGAAAATGGAAAATGTGCGAAAACTAAACTTCTGTGATAACATAGATTGCTGGGTATGTTCCAAAGTACTCTTGAATCCAGAATGTTGGCCAACAGGAGCTATCATCACTTTAGCCCTAGTGGTTTACGTGATTATAGCTGCCATCTCTCTAATGTTGGACGTACCAGTAACCATCGGCAAACCTATCAGAAATTCTATTCGAATTTTTATTACCATTACACGCTTTCTGTTGAGCAAACTTTGCAAATGTTCTCGTTCTATACTAAAAAGGTGCTGCCAAACTCGTCGTAGAACCAGAGCAACACGCTTGACAGAAGCTCTGGCGATAGTGACGCTCACTGCACTCACTAAAAACGCATTTGCATGTCAACAAGTAGATGTCTAGGAATACCACTCTACAATTTGCCATAAACATAACGGAAAAGAAACTTGTGCAATCGAAATGAAAGGAGTCTTAAAATTGAGTACATTCCAACAAGAGGCTTGCTTGCGCCTAACGAGAAATGGTTCGCACATAGAAAACCAAAAGTGCGCTGGAGAGAGCTCCGATTGCACTGCGAGAAAGAGACACTGCTTTTCACAAGATCGTCTATTCTCAAGGTGGTAGATAGCAAACGCTGTCCCCACATGGGAAGCTGTGTGGGACGGAAATGTCCTGACATAAACACAACAAGTCTCCTTCCAGAGCTGGAAGCGGGAAACCGATTTCCAGGGCGAACAGGCTGCTTAGAATCGTATTGAGGACTGGGCTGTGACTATTTTTATCCGAGTTCGGGGTGCCTATTCTACAGAATCTACGCTACGCCAAAAAATTCGAATGTGTATGAAATTTTCAAATGCTCGCGGTGGAGAGAAGAGATCAAACTAGATATATACATTGAAAGTTTGCGCTTAGGAAAACAGCATTTCATCTCAGCAATCCCAAATATTCCGGTCAACCTTCCAAATTTGCGCACAACACTAACAACAACTTCACTTCCTCCTATCCCGTCCCTGCATGATCACTTTATCACAAACTAGCTGGCTTACCCGGCTCCGCCGTATCCGGACCAAACTTGGCACACATACACTTCGGGCCCCGGCGGGTGTCACAGTCCACTTTTCGTTATCGATCGATGTCGATTTTACCGATTTTTATCGATTTTTTGGCAGAGTTCACCTACAGGGCTAGGAGTTGGCACAGGGGGGAAGTGAGCATGGGGATTCCGAATACAATATTAGTTTTCAGAATTATCGATTGCTTTTATTGATTTTATCGATTTTTTGTAAATTTTGACATGCGAGGCTGGGATTTTGCACAGGGGGGTAATCGAGCATGCTGATCACGAACACAATATTAGTTTTCAGGATCGTCCATTACTTTTATCGATTTTATCGATTTTTTTGCAAAGTTTGACCTGCGGGGCTGGGAGTTTGCACAGAGGGTAATCGAGCATGCAGATTACGAATACAATATTAGTTTTCAAGATCGTCCATTACTTTTATCCATTTTATCGATTTTTTGAAAATTTGAGCTAGGGGGCTGGAATTTGGCACAGGGGTGTTCGAGCATGCTGATCACCCCCCTTGGGGATGATCAGCATGCTCGATTACCCCCCTGTGCCAACTCCCAGTCCCCTAGCTCAAACTTTGCAAAAAAATCGATAAAATCGATAAAAGTAATCGATAATCCTGAAAACCAATATTGTATTCGGAATCCCCATGCTCGATTACCCCCCTGTGCGAACTCCCAGCCCCGTAGCTCAAACTTTGCAAAAAAATTGATAAAATCGATAAAAGTAATCGATAATCCTGAAAACCAATATTGTATTCGGAATCCCCATGCTCGATTACCCCCCTGTGCCAACTCCCAGCCCCGTAGGTGAACTCAGCAAAAAAATCGATAAAAATCGATAAAATCGATATCGATCGATGACGAAAGGTAGCCTATGACACCCGCCGGGGCCCGTAGTGTATGTGTGCCAAGTTTGGTCCGGATCGGTTCAGAAATGCAATTTTCTATTCGGAACATACGTACAGACAGACATACATACAGACAGACAGACAGACAAACAGACATTCAGCTTTATATATAAGATGGCATTGATACGGCCTTATAGCAATCTACTTTCACACCCGACCTCACTTACAATTACAGAGATACGGCAAGTTCATTTGAATGCGCTCTAGCAGATAACTGTGTATGCACGGCGGCAGAAAACAAAGTAGTATGTCAATGTCCCCAAATATTGAACACGAATTCTATCAAATTCAACATCAATTATCCATAAAAACAGCTTCGTGGTATATAAATAGCTTCAAAGGCAACGTAGTGGCAAAAATACCACAAATGGTTTCTGCCGAAATAATCCTCAGCAAAAAAGAACACATCAAGGTCACAGCCTTAGAGGTTGAGGATAACACTTGCACGATACAAATTTCGCCTTGATAGGATGCTACAATTGCGCTTTAGGAGCGGTAGCAAATATCACATGCAGCTCGCCAAAACAAACTATAGGCGAAATCATCTGCGGAAAAAGTGCCTTTGTAGTTCCATGCGCTCCAAATAAACCAACTTCAAACTTGTATTTCCATCTGAGCGCAGCACAACAGCTTATCAATTGTTCCATCTCCTGTGGAAATTCGAAAAATCATTTCATCATATCAGGCATTCTGAAATATGTAGGAAACATTCCGTCACAAATTCTACTAGCCCTAAAGAGCAATAGCACGGTATATGGCGAAATAGAATGGCCCGACTTTTCGCATATTTTCAAAGTATATCTTCAATGGTATAAAACTGTGGTCATTGCGCTGATTATTCCGGCGATAGCACTTCTGGTTTCGTACGCTTTGCTGCAAACGATAGGACTACGCGTTGCCCCACTGTTTTTCGCATTTTATTCAAAGTACTGGCTTTGCCCTTTCGTGCTGCGCTTCTTGTGGCGAGCTGTTTACTTCAGTGCCGAAGGAAAAACATACATGCAACCATCGTACCACACGCCAAGAAAATTTGATAGCAATATAGAAATAGTAGGAATTACGGTAGATTATAGTAAATGTATTTCAAAAATGAGCGACAATAAAGACCACCACGAATTGAAACAAAAGCTACAACAGCTGACAGAGGCCCTTTATGCGTTTTGTGATGCTATCAACACGCTAAGAAACGCACGCGAAGGAACGTTGAACAATCTCTCAAAGTCGACGTCTGGAAAAAGTGATAACCAAGATATGCAAAGACATGAACGCAGCTTGGAAAGAAGAGATAGCGAGAAAACCGAAACACATTCGGTGAAAACATTATAGAGAGCAGAATCAGGAAGCGCCGAACAGAATTCTAAGCCTGGGAAAAGACTACGTCAATCCTCAGAGGGCGAGGAAAAAGATTGCACACCGAAAAGATGCTACCAGCAATCCGAAAGCGGAGAATCAGAGTACGATGCGCGCGGAAGAAGAGAAGCTTTTGAAGAAACAGAAACAAGTTCCGAAACAAGTGCACATCCAGAAGGCCCAGAACAGCCTATTTTACAAGTGAGGCCGGAGGACATGATACAACATGTTTCACAAGAGGAACAACTCGTCGTGGAAGTCATTGAAGTCTTTAACGAGGTGAATGAGACACGCGAGTTACACGATGAGGAAGAAGAACGTTTTGTGGAGATTATAGAAGAAGATGATGAACAAGATACAGGAATCAAGCCCCCGAAGAGAGAAAAAGGAACCCAATTGAAGAGGGAGAGCCTTTTGGTGAAGCCATGAAGGAAGATGATGAAGAGCCGAGCCTGAATCAGATAAGAAACCAAGAGTTGCGCCTCGAAATTCGCCGGGTAGAGCAAGAAGTGAAAGATTGGAGAATAATGATTGACGAGCTACGAGGCAGGCCGAGATGTGCTCCGCGAAGGTTCCAGCAGTGACTCATAAACAGGGATTATGAAAGGCACATGAGATGTGTTTTTTGCAAGGCGGTAGGACGCCATTACTCCGATGCGTGCCCGGAAGTGCAAGAAGCGGAAAGTCGATTGCGCATCATCAGAGATCAAAGAAAGTGCGACATCTGGTTAGAAACACTGTGTCCGGGCAACCGAGACTGTAGAAGATGGTCTACGGCATGTTCTCACTGCCGTAGATACGGCCATCATTCGGCACTTTGTACGCTCCCGGAGGAAAGCAAAATCAACTACGGAAGACTCGTCCGCGCAAAAAACGCACTCCATCGCGGTCTAAACAAGCTCGAGCGTCTCAAAGAAGAACTCAAAGATCCACAGGAAAACACAGGTGGGGCGGCAGTATCGCGGCTCTAAGCGCGATCTCTACCGTACTCGTTTTTCCCATAGCTTTCTTATCCTAGTATTCATCTATTACAGAATGTTGAATCAAGCGCGGAAAGAGCAAAGGGCAACACGTATAAAAGGACGATGGCAACAACGCGAGATTCACTTTCTCCATCTTGATCATTTGTGTGTTTGGTTTATTATGCATTTATCATTTTATTTGATGAAAAAGACGAGGGTTTAATTACCCAAGTTTGAGGTAATCGCCACCAATAAACTGTTGGTTCGCTTGTATTGGTTTGGTCTCGAGAGTTCTGAACCACCGAAAGAAGGTATGACACATTTTGACTAAAGCAGCTGTTTAACGTTTTTGGATGTGTACCTACCTAGAAAAATTCGGGAGCTAAGAAGTGCTTTGTTCAGTAAAAACTCTAGGTGGACCTATAATTTTGTGCAGCCTTCAAGCCTGCTTTTTTCATTTTCAATTTTTCTTGAACAACCAAACGAAAACGAGACCCATTTTGATGACTGAGAGTAGGCTGGTAAACACAAGGCTGTACCAAATTTTGGAACATTTTATTGACAACAGAGTGAGTTAAGGCATTTTTTAGAGGACCTATAATTTTGTCCAGCATGTATTTGCGAGGCTTTGAGGGGAAAATGACATTTATTTGCTGAATATTCCTCTCGTCCGTTCCTTTTATGCAAGTTTGCTTCTGTTTGAACCCAGTCAAATCTCGTATCTACCTGAACTTATACTTCTGCTGACAACCACTAATAATTCATCAGTGGTCCTTCAAGTCTCAAACTTTGACATAGATTTGCTTTTCTCTAGACATTATGTCTCTAGACATAATGTGACATTCTCTCTCTAGACACTACGTCATAAAACAATGGAATCAAGGTACATATAACATTTTAGAAGAATGATGAAAGAGCTTCTCAACAAATGCCGCACACTCTGAATCTGCGGTCATCGTCTTGAGCCAGTCTTTGTTGACAATCCCTCTGCTAACTTCCTTTGCAGAAATCAATATAGATTATCACAGATCTAGGTTATATGGTGCAGCTTCCAACCTTCTGAAAATCTGCTGATGAAGTTGAGTTTATGCTGCATTAGTCCAATGAAAACTCTTGCAGTAAAGAGTCTCCGACCATGCTTCATGGTAGCTTTCCGTTTTGATTAATTTGCAGGCACCTTTTGATTGCAAATATCTTTAGACCTCTTCAAAACAGCCTTGCCTCTCACACCAAGTTTATTGACTTTCCAAGGAATGTCGATAAAAATCTAAGGGCGGCTTTCTGCTGCGAAACCTCTTTAAAAAGCAAGTCTTTAGGTGTGAAACAAAAAACGATTTACCTTTCAAATAAGTATAATAACTTGAAACCTGCACGACATTTTCTAGCAGATTCATTAATTGATGAGAAACTGATATGCTCACACTCAGCTTCTAGAATGGATCAGTTGCGTCAAACACACTATAAAAATTACAATAAGTTTCAATTTGAAAAACTCCCATGAGGCTATTGCTTTGTGGCTTATTAAAAACGATAACCAACTAGTTATTATTTGAAAACTAGGTAATATGCATAATTCCGCTGTTTTCGAATATTCATTAACAAACCTTGAGGTTGCATTCTGTTAGGCTGTTGCAAAATTAATTTCCTTTCTAGGCGTACTTTCCGAACAACTTTTTTCCTTTAAAATGTCTTTTTCAATACGGATTCCGCACATCATTGGAACGCTTTCTTCATGTGATTTCTAACAATGGTTAAAATAATCTTCTGTCTCATCTGTAAGAATTCCACCAGCATCTCACACAGCCGCACTCAGAATCGAAAATTCGCTGCTTTAACTCGCGCCACAAGTCGTGCAAATGAACGAATTCTTTAAAAAAACATAGCTACTTATTGGTTGAGCATTGATTACCTATAGCATGTTTAAGTAGATTTTTCGAAAATACCTGAACCAAGAAGTCGACGCCTCGAAGTAGATACTCGCTGCTGGCATTTTATGGGTAGAGTTTCTCATAATTAGGGTAATCGCAGAAGCTTCGCTCATTTCTGTATGCTTGAAGTCAGGACATCTTTCCTACAATTTTTGCAGAAAAGCGTAGCTATTCAGTGTATGAAGAATTTTAAATTTCCATAGTTTGGGATTTTCTGGCCTACCACAAATAGGCTCAAAAAAGTGGACAGTTTTGGATTTCTATCTTTTCTTTCCGCAGAATTCTTTCGTTAAAGCTGGCCTGCGTCTACAAATCAAGCCGACTAACCGTGGTAATCAAATATGAGGTTTTAAAAAAACTTTCGGTATTTTACCGTACGGTTTTTTTCCCGTTTGCAATATCAATAGTTGCAGGTGCGCGTGATTTTGATTGCATTTAGAAATATGGAGAGTGAACAAATTTATAGCCTTTCAAATTGAAACTTTGCAAACGGATATCATTTTTGCAACAACCTGATATCTTTCGAGCGCATATCGGATTCCGAAAAAGGTATGTTCAGCTTTGCGAATAAAAGCTAATCTTGAATAGATTTTTATCTCAAGGTATGCTCTCAAGAGTTTGCTGGTGAATACGGTCACAGGTCTCTGTAAATTATACCGCTTTAGAAACAACATTTCACTGTCAATGTTCCACCGCCTGCTCATTCCTTGCCCCGTGTAGTTACGATAACAAAATGCTCATTTACGATGTTTGAAATTCGACAAATCGATGGCTGGATATGAGTATATATTGCCTTCTTGTTTAGCATGGTCATTCGTCTTCGAAATCAACTTTAGTTTCCCAAGATAAGGTTTGCAAAAAAATGATGAAGAAATAAAGGCGAGCAACACTTGCTTAGAAGCTTGCTATGTATTGTAATTTGATCAATCATTTCTTTATACCAATCGTTAACCCTCAAAGTCTAAGAAAAAGCCAGCATTAAATTAGAAACGTTCGAAAAAACTATAGAATAAACAAGCCCAGCCTTGTAGTTTGATATGCGTGCGAAGTCAGTCCAAATCTGCTCAAAAATGAAGTTTTCTCACACCCGTTCTCTCATACTCCTCCAGACAACCAGACACTGACATTTCCATATAAGATGAAGTGGATGATCAGCTCTTTGTTCCTTGTGACGGCAGTGAAGTGTCAACAGCTTGAATCCGAGAGGTATGTCAGAAATTGAAAGCTTTCTAGTCCTCAGAAGGTCACAAAAATATTATGCCAGCACGAGCACATCCCTTGGTAAGCTGAAAGATGCCATTCGCGATTGGGCCATCAAAAAGGGAGTTTTGGTAGGTTAACATCCACCAAACTGTCTATTATTTCGAAGCAAAATCGATGAAGTGGATAAGAGCATGTGCCAAATGGTTGTTTGGTGCAAGCACTTTTCGGTGAGATTGCTGAGCTTGACCAAGATTGTTATGATAACTTTTTATTGGCTGACGTCGACGTTTCGGCGATCTACGCCTTCTTCGGAGCCTGGAAAGACGTTGTTTGGTGACATTGTTTCAGGATGAAATGGTGAAATACTTAGAAAACATGGAGAGGAGGTTTTTGAAGATTATGGGCAACACAAACCAGTCTCTGGAGCAAATGCGTAAATATGAGAGCATTTAATCCGAAATGTGAGAAGTTATACAAGTCTACAGTCTTTTATCGAGTTGAAGAAGATTTACAGATATCGTTCTATAAAATTCACAATTGATCTATCTATGAAGGAGCTGTCGGGAAGCAAAAGACGTCAACGAAGATCACCGATGAGTAGAGAGGAGATGGACTGGCTCGTGTGGGGCATGGGATGAATTATCTGCTGAAGTTTGCTTACCTAATATTTGTTGCAGGAGCAGCGAATTTTCACGACTTTAACTTCCTTCTGCAAATTTTGTTAGAAGCTGATCAATCATACCATTTTTGTGCGAAAATTGAAACAGTATTTCCTAGAAAGAGTAGAGAATTACACCAAAATCGATATGAATCGTCCACGAATAAGCTCCTTTATGGTCTAGAAAACTTGATACGCTTCATGATGGATCAAAGGTTGCTTAAGTAGATTGGCATCTATTAAAATCTACGTTGGAGAGAACGCAGAATGTTGAAATTTGCGCCTAATGAAGGCAATATGCTTCAGGTTTGCTGAAGCATATTGCCTTCATTAGGCGAAATCAAAATCTAAAAGAAAATCTGAAAGAACACTAACAAAGATAGGCGCACACATTGAGGTGTTGTACTATAATATCTTGTTTGAAGAATTGTATGGTGAAGAATAGCAGCTGCAGCAAATCTGCACAAAAAACAAACAAAGTATAAACTTCGAAAGAATGGCCAAAATGCTGCAGGGTAAAAAGCACCCCGCACCAAAATTGGGCTTCTAGTGCAAAAGAACAACAAAAGGTTTGCATAGCGTTGACAAAATTAAAATAACTTGATATGGCACATACTCTAACAAGCATACAATACCCCCGGTTTAGAGTAGACCAATTCTTATTCCAAAGGCAATATT